CTCTCGGGCAAGAATTCCCTGGGGACCCAGAGGGGCTGACCAAGTTCAGCCGGGGAAACCCCGAGGTCTTCTTTAACCACGCAGCGCAACCCCAGTAAAACCCACAGAAGACGGTCAACCCAGTTGCCATCTGTGAGAGAAGCACGGAGCGCGGCCTTAAGCGACCGGTGGAAACGCTCGCACGTTGGCCTGCGGGTGGTACGCAGTTGTTCGGTGGACCTTGATTCCCAGGCCGTCACCCATGGCAGACCAAAGCTCTGAAACAAACTGGGGGCCCCTGTCTGAAGTGATGTCGGCGGGGGGACCGAAACACGAAAAATGACAAAAATGCCCTGGCCACCGCTGCTGCTGTAGTGGACGCCAGAGGCACTGCCTCGGGCCAGCGGGTTGTGCGGTCCACTGAAGTCAAAAGGTGCGTGAAACCTTCTGACTGCAACAGAGGACCAACCAGATCACATGCACATGATCAAAACGCCTCCCTGGGGCGTGGGATGAGCGCTGCTGCCCAGTCTTTCACCGATTTACAGAGGCCCAGCGAAACAAACCTAGAGCTGACCAGCTTGACCGAGGCCTAGACCCCTTGGATGAGAGAGGGCGTGTACTGAGTCGAAAACGCCACGTCTGACGTGTCGGTGTTCAACGCAATCTCCGCCAATGGAAACGGGTGGGCCAGCAGGGCGGCGTGGGCCAGCGCGGCCTTGGCCCCAGAAAATGGCTGGATGCGTTCAGGGAGCCAATCGATGGAGTCCTTAGCTGTTTTACCCTTCAAGGCAGCACAGAGTGGATGCAGCAGATGCGCAGCTCTGGGGAAAAAGTGGTTGTAGAAATTGACCATCCATGAGAACTCCTGCAGCGCTTTAACCGACGTGGGACGTGGAAAAGCCGAAACGGCCCAGACCTTGTCTGACAACGAAACCACACCGTCAGCGGAAATGCAGTGGCCCAAGAAATCCAGAACCGGCAACTCGAACTGGCACTTGGAAGAGTTGACGATCAGGCCGTGATCGTGGAAAGTGCAGGTAGCCAAGAAAATAAGATCCACTTCCTCAATCAGGGAGCGATAATCCTTCACGCCCAGAAGCGGAGAGTTGGTGAGGCCGGTTCTCACAGCCGCTGGCAGCTGTCGGAGGAAGATGTGGGCGAAGAGCAATCCCCCGTCGTCCGGTCCGAGAAAAGATAGCATGTGCTCCATCAGTTCGAGAGCCGTACCGCCACCCAGGCCTGAGAGGGAGAGGAGCTTAAAGCCTGCTGCTCTGTGTGTCTCATGTCTGCACGCAGATCTGTAACGGCAGCAGAAACATGACTGTTAATAACAAGATTTGTGCCTTGCTGCATGCACACTACAGAAGTGATGTACAACAGACAGATTGCACTAAACACAGACGATATCACAAAATTACACATCTGCTGACATATAACCAGCAAGTATCTGCTTCTTTTT